GTATCACACCAGCAATTTCACACACAGTGTCTTGCTGACTTTAAGATAGCAAGTGCATAGAGTAATGAATCATTTACAAGCTGAGCACAGCCTTCAACAGTTTATTTTTATTTTATTTGTGATAACATCTCACTATGTCACCAATATCCATCTGGCTTTGGCTCCAAATTGCTAGGATTAAAACAGTGTGTCACTAAGGCTGACTAAATCTTCAAGAAGTTAAGAATAAAAGTAGGCATAGTGGGATCTCTGGGAGACCAGCCTGGTCTACAAGAGCTAGTTCCAGGGCAGCCTCCAAAGCCACAGAGAAACCCTGTCTCGAACCACCCCCCCAAAAAAAAGTAGGCATAGTGGTTCAGGACTGAAATTCCAGCATCCAGGAAACTGAAGGCAGGAAGACTGCCGTGAGTTCAAGTCCAGCTTGACTTAAATAGATCTTATCTTAAAACACAGCAGGGAAGAGACTGTGCTCATATTATAGAACAGTCTTTTATCTTGAAACAGGATTTTTTTTTTTAAGATTTTATTTATTTGGGGCTGGAGAGATGGCTCAGAGGTTAAGAGCACTGACTTCTCTTTCAGAGGTTCTGAGTTCAATTCCCAGAAACCACATGGTGGCTCACACCCATCCCTTATGAGATCTGGTGCCCTCTTCTGGCACGTAGGCACACATGCAGGCAGAACACAGTGTGTACATGATAAATAAATAAAATCTTTTTAAAAAATATTTTATTTATTTATTATGTATACAACCTTCTGCTTCCATGTGTATCTGCACACCAGAAGAGGGCTCCTGTAGGCTTCATTACAGAGACGCATCTCTCAGCTGATGCCTGCAGGCTTGAGTCACCAGTACACAATGAGCTAAACTGTGTAGCAGTTTAAGAATTTGCTCATGCAGACAGAAAAGGTCACAGATGTGCAGTAAAGCAGGTTCAGATGGAAAAAAACAAACAAACAAACTCTAAACAGGTAAGTACATTCACTGATGTGCACAGGCTTAAGAAAAAAGGAAAAGCCGAGGTGGTGGCTCATGCCTTTAAACCCAGCACTTGGGAGGCAGAGGCAGGTGGATCTCTTGTGAGTTTTGCCCAGCCTGGTTTTCAAAGAGAGTTCCAGGACAGTCTCCAAACCTGTAGAGAAACCCTGTCTCAAAAACAGAAAAAAGAAAAAAAAAAAAAAAAGCAAAATGGGTACGGACACTCATAAAAATAGTTTTAATAAGTAAAGGAGGGAGGAGGGAGCTATGAGAATGAGAAGGGAAGAAGAGGAAGGATGCAGAGGTCATGAGGGAGCAGAAAGGTTGAGTCAGGTGTAGATTAGAAGAAAGGATATGTGATAGATAGAGTTTTAGTTGGGGGGGTGGTAGGGGAGGAAGGGAGGGAGAAGGGAACTGGGATGGTCATGTAGTTCAATCTTGTTTGTAATTCAAATAAAAAAAGTAAATAAAGTCTTTAAAGAGAGAAGTGGAAAAAAAAGAATAAGCCACATAGAGATGGAAAATACACAGCAAGTCTGGATCCTGTGTGGTGTATTGATTTCAAAATTTTTGATTGCTTATGAGCAAACAACAGCTGCTGAGGGACACTGGATTATAAAAACTACTAAATTAAACCAACCTATATATTTTTAAAATGTCTTAACTTCAAAATGGAAGTAAAAAAATGCTATGTTGGGGAAAAGGTTATGCTTTTCATTCCACAGAAAATGAAGGGCTATACATTCATTCAAGGTTGATAGAGATCAGATTTGATCTGGGAAAACCCTCTGAAAATCCTCAATACAAACATGAGGAAATAAACTTCAAAAAAAAAAAAAAAAACAAAAAACAAACAAGCAAACAAAAATACAAGACAGGTGACGTATACTGTACCTGATCAAAAAGAAGGTTTTCTCTGTGTAACAGTCCTGGCTGTTCTGGAACTGGCTCTGTAGCCCAGGCTGGCCTTGAACTCATAGAGCTCAGCCTGCCTCTGCCTCTGGAGTGCTGGGATTAAAGATGCACACCACCACCACCCAGCCAGAAGTCATCTTTGGCTGGCTTGTGTACAATACACAGTCCATACTTGTGTTAAAGAGGATACTACATATGTTACCCTTGAAAGAACAAACACCAATGAAAGCAATGGCCCAGGTGATCCAACCTCTCAGCGTGCCTCTGTTGCAGTTTCCTGCAAGTTCTGTATCCAGAACAGCTTCAAGGCTGCTGGCTGACATGGTCCAACCTCACAGACTACTCCAGCCAGACCTCAAATAAACCCTACATTTTCCCATCACACAGAGACTAGATGACAGCTGGCTCTCCCAGGACTTCCCAATTTTCCCAAGGTCCTGTTATGTTTGTTTTTTATTCTTTACTCTTTGGGCTTTTTGGGGCCCACCACCCAGTTCCCAAATAAATCACACACAAAAGCTTATTCTTAATTATGAGTGCCTGGCATTAGCCTGGCTTGTCTCCAGCCAGTGCCCAACATTAGCTTGGCTTGTTTCTAGACAGCTTTTTTCTTTTTCTTTTTGTTTTTTCCAGGCAGGGTTTCTCTGTGTAGCTTTGGACCCTATCCTGGCACTCACTCTGTAGCCCAGACTGGCCTTGAACTCACAGAGATCTGCCTGCCTCTGCCTCCGAGTGCTGCGATTAAAGGCATGTACCAACATCTGGCCAAGCCAGCTCTTCTTATCTTAAATCTACCTTTTCCCTCTGGGCTTTTATTTTTCTTCAGGGGAACTTGGCAGAGACAAAATAAGACACCAGCTGGCTTCCACTGGCCTCTGAAATCACCAACAGGCACATATATGCACATATACCATACACACTCACACTCGTGTACCCTCCCCCAAATATCTTAAAAAGCCTGTTTTTTTTACCATGATCCAGGGCAAGTAAAGTCTGAGAAACTGACATTAAGGAGACATGAGGCCTACATGCAATGACAAATGACACAATAGATGAGATCCTGGATCAGAAAAACCAAAATCCAAAAAAACCCACTTCCTTTTTTTTTTTTTTTGAGACCAGGTCTCCATACTTAGCTCTGGATGCACTGAAATTCACTATGGCAGGGTTTTTTTTATTGTTATTGTTTTGTTTTTGTTTTTTTCAAGACAGGGTTTCTCTTTGTAGCCCTGGCTGTCCTGAAACTCTGTAGACCAGGCTGGCCTCGAACTCACAGAGATCTGCCTGCCTCTGCCTCCCGAGTGCTGGGGTTAAAGGCGTGCACCACTACCTCCAGTTTAAAAAAGTTTCAATAATGGGCCTATTTAACCTTGGCTGGCCCTGAACAGACCATGTAACCCAGGCTGGCCTCAAACTGTAGCAATTCTCCTGTCTCTACTTCCCAAGCGCTGGGAACATGGGTGTGAACCACCATGCCTGGCTTGAACAGCATATGACATTAGTTAATAATAATGTACTGATGCTGATTAATTAACTGTAAGAAATGTACTTTAACAAATAAGATGCTAGTAAAAGGGGAAGGGTACAAGGTATATAGGAATTCTTTGTAGCACTTTTTCAGTTGTTCTAAAAATCTAACTGTTCTGAAAAATGAAGTCTATACCATCTTGCTGTTACAGAATAAAAGCTAATCAAAGTCTTAAGAGAGAAAAAGGTGCTCATAATAGAAATAACAACAAAAAGATTAGGAAAGCTGAATATGAAATGTGACAGTATACCCAAAAGTGAGACATTCAGCATTAGAAAACGAAAGACAAGAGCAACTCAGGAGAGAGCACAGTTAAGCAGTGAGGAACTAGAAACAGCAGGTGAGATGTGATATTCAAGAAATCTGGATTTTAACAGTGGCAACCCATGCCTATACTCACAGTAGGACTGTTGCGAAGGAGGCAGGCAGATCTCTGTGAGTTCAAGGCTAGTGTGGTCTGCAAAGTGAGTTCTAGGACAGCCAGGAGTGTTACACAGAGAAACCCTGTCTCAAAGAACAGAACAGAACAGAACAGAACAGAACAAAACAAAACAAACAGCAGCAGCAACAACAACAAAAAAAATCACAGTGCTCATGGAGCCAAAGCACAAGGATTGCCATGAATCTGAGGGCAGATTGGGCTTGCTACACAGTGAAACTTTGATGGAAGGCAGGAGAGAGAGAGGGAAGGAGAAAGAATGACAAACACCTGGCTGTGATTCAGAGAGGAAACAGAAATGACAGACCTTAATTTTTCAATAAAATAGAAAGTGAGGGTTTTTGCCACAAAAGGAAGACTTAAGGCATAGTGATAGAGGTTTGGAAAAAAAAGTTGGTGAAATAGCCATGGGAGAATTTAGGACACCAGAAAGCAAGAATTGGCAAAAAGCTGTGATACTGACAGAAGTTAACACTATATTGAATCTTGAGGTTTTTTTTTTTCTTCTTTTCTAGCAATATGTTACAGTCTAAAATCAGAAACCAAGAAAAGAGTTGATGGATATCATTCAAGATAAAGACAGTCACATGCAGTAGTTAACTGAATGCCTGTAATGCAGGCATAGGTGGGAGCAGGGAGAACAGGAGTTAAAGGCCAGCCTGGACTGCAGGGGACTTTTCCTCAAAAAGCCAAAAAAAAATACACAAACAAAAATGATAAAAGAGGGGCTAGGGATATGGCTCAGGGCTTAGGGGGAGGGTAAAGCATTTGCCACACTAATGTAAGGACCAGAATTCACATCACCAGCCACATACATGCTGCGGGCTGGCGGCATGCCTATAATCCCAGCACTTGGGAGACAGAGACAGGATCCCAGGAGTAAACTGTCTGAATCACCAAACTCTGGGCTACAGTGAAAGATCCTGACTGAGATGTAAGATGGGGAGGGATAGAGGAAGACACCTGGCATCAACATCTGGCCTGCACATGCATGTGGACCTGTACCCACACATGCACGTGCACACAGGCAGGTACACACACTCACACATACACACGGAACCAGAAAACCTAAGCTGCCTCTGTGGATTTGGGACAGTCAAAATGGTGACTGGTAAGGAAGCTAAAGTGAAGGGGAATACCTGAAAGGAAAGTAGTGTCACAGATGAGGTCCAGGTTGTAGTAATCCTTAGGTGTAGCTGAAAATACAAAGGTAAGTCAATGATCTCGTGCTCAGCAACTAGGGAGCTCAGAGTGTTCCCAAGGTGCTAGAGACAGAATAATAACAACAAAAATAAAAAACAAAAGGGCTAGAGAGATGGCTCAGGGGTTAAGAGAGGCTCTTGCAGAGGACCTGAGGACCTACGTTGGATTCCCAGCACCAATACGGTGGCTTACAACTCTAACTCCAGTTCCAGGAGATCTGATACCTCTTCTGATTTCTGTGGGCACCAAACACACAAATGGTGCACAGACATACACACAGGCAAAACAATCACACACATAAAATAGGTAATAGCATAATTTGTGGGCAGTAGATAGGAACACTGTGGTTTTACGGGAGTTTTATAGGAACCACTATAAGGATCACAGTAGCAGTAGGAAGTAGGAAAGAAAAGCAAAGAGGCAGTTTATTCCTTTTTTCTTCTACAATCACAGAATACAGAAAATACCTCTGATTGCAAGCAGGGGCCAGATGGACTATGTGGATAAAAAGAAGAATAAGGTACCCATCAAGAGCTGCAAATTGGTGCCGGGCACTGGTGGAGCACGCCTTTAGTCCCAGCACTCGGGAGGCAGAGGCAGGCGGATCTCTGTGAGTTCGAGACCAGCTTGGTCAACAGAGTGAGTTCCAGGACAGCCTCCAAAACAATACAGAGAAACCCTGCCTCAAAAAACAAACAAACAAACAAAAAAAAGAGCTGCAAATTGCCCATCATGGCCTTGGCAGTGTGCTCCTTTAATCCCCAAACTCAGGAGGCAGAGAGAGGCAGGTGGATCTCTATGCCTTCAAGGCCAGCCTAGTCTACACAGTGAGCTCCAGGCCAGCCAGAGCCACATGGTAAGACCATGTCTGGGGCAGTGGGAGGGGCGAGGTTCTATTTAAAGGTCAGGTCTATATGAGGCAGGTGGATCTCTCTGCATTCAAGACAAGTCTGGTCTGCAAAGGGAGTTCCAAGCCAGTCAGGGACACACAGTGAGACACCGTCTTCAAACAAACAAACAAGCAAACAAAAACCCAGCTGCAGGTTAAAGACCTACCTAGTAGAGAATATAAGAAATGTTGCTACAACTCTTTGAAATGCAAGAATAGGGAATGGTAGAAGAAATACTAGTTGTCAATAAGTATCATATAATGTAGGAAGCCTACCTATTAGGAACACATAAAGCAAACCAAGAAGCATACACGGCACATTTTAAACACACCATGCATACACTGCACACGTACAGGATCACCTCTATGAAACACGAGAGTCAGCGACTACACGTGAAGACTACACTGGAGGATACAAAAAATAGTCAGGCGCTTAAACTCCATTTTATAAATGTCTTTCATATATCTATTTGATCATCTCCAGGTCAACACAGCTATTGTGCACATTATTCTAAAGACAAGGCAATTAGGATGAGACAAAAATATATATCTATATATATATATGAGGGAAACTAATTCTCAGTTTCACACACAAACACAGACTGCAACATTTCAAGACAGCGCTGGACTGAAATTCTACTCAAGCTATAAGACATAACGGGGGTTCTATTAATTGTCAAAGATGTTGAAAGAAAGACCAGTAGATATTCCCCTGGTTTTGTTTTTGGTTTTTTTTTTTTTTTCTCTGACTTTAGATGGAAAACTCCATCAATGAGAAAAGTCAGGGTGAAAGTTAAATTCCTCTTCCAAGACTTCGTGTACCTCTGGGCTTCAGTGACCCCCCTCCTTCCCCCTCAAAGAAATGAAGATGAGGCAAAGAGCGAGGACAGCACTGTGTAGCCATGAGATAGATCCTTCAGCAGACAGAGCTTGGAGAAGATAACAGGGTAGGGTAGAGGGCAGGTCTAACAGCAGGACATGGGGGAGGGGAGGAAGGGTCGGAATTGGAGGGAACTGGCAGTGCAGGAGCCCCTAAGGCTGCAGGACCCTAAAAAGGTATGGGACTCCAGCAGCTAGAAACAGCCGAGGCTCCTAAGGGCCCCGGAGCAGGGGACATTGAAGGACCCCCAGGGTTTGAGAGACCGGAAGCAGAGACCCCCCCAAAACACGAGACCAGAAGGGGGCGCAGGTGATAACCCACAGGAATGAATGGGCAAGGCGGTCCGGGGGCGGGGCCAAGGAGGGGCCCCGGGATGGGCGTGGCACAAACCCCTCTCCAAGCCCGAACCCCTAACCCAAGAGTCCCGAGAGAAGCGGCTCCGCGATTCCCGCACTCACCGCCGGTCTCGTCAGTTACATAGGGAGTCGCCATCTTGAGAACCCGAACCACTTCCGGCGTGAGCGGGCTGGGGTCCCGCCCCCTCCCCACCGGAAGTGGAGTCCTCATCCTAGCAAGCCACCATTTTAATCTTAAAGAGAGACTGCACCATTTCATCGACCCGGGCGGAGGCGAAGGGAGGGTAGAAGCGCAGGGCAGCTTATGAAGGCGCGGGCTCTTTTACTACCACCGATACCATTCTCCAACGCCCGGGGGCGGATGAAACAGTCCTCTGGGCTCCCAGAGAGGTTCCGACACAAGCCCTCTACTAATGCTCGCAGACTAATGCTCGCACGCCCGAGGTCACCGGCGCCCAATAGAAAGGCTGGTTAAAGAGAGCAGAGAATACGCAAAGCCCGTGGCCCGCACCCAACACCCAACGCCAGGGCGGCTGTGGACGTGGAGCAGAGACGCCCCCCGGGGACGCGTCGGGCGCACGACTGTGTCTGGGAACGGACGTGCAAACCTCCAGCCAACACCTGAGCCGGCGGGCAGGGGGTTCGGGCTCGCCGATCGCTCTCGGCTGCCCAGCCGGGCTCTGCACCGAGACCCGTGCCAGGGCGCGCAAAGAGGAGGGCACTGCGGGTCGGTCACCTGTCCCCGTAGCCT